GCTCTTTCGGCTTCGGCGTATAGCGACCAAGCTTGAGCATATTGCTGTTGCAGGAGACCCAGTGTCATCTTCCAGCGATTGTCCTCTTCCCTCTCGGCGTTGTCAGGACCGTCTGTAGCTTCGGCGCCTTCTTGGCCTTGTTCCAACCTATGCCTCTCTTCCTCCAGAGCCTTGATGTGGATACCCTTTTCGCGAATTGCGTCCTCGAGCACTTTGTTGGCCTGTGTCTCGTCGGCATACTTGTCTTTGAGGTCCTGGACGCGCTTCTCGGAGGCTGATTGGTACTCGGACTGTTCCTTCTTGATCTTCTCGGCAGTGTCGCGGAGTTCGCCCGCCTCCCTCGTCCACTTGGCAACATCGTCTTTAAGCTTCTTCCGCTCGGCTTCCTTTTGACGAAGAACCCTCTCTTGCTGGGTGCGTCTGGTCTGCGCAGCGGCGTTCTGACGCTCAAGACTGGCTACCTCTTTTCGCAAGTCACGACTGGCGTCTTCCTTTTCCTTCAATGCAGCCTTCTTCTCGTCGCGCTTGTCGGCTAGGATGGCCCTCTGGGTCACAAACTCCTGGTCCTCGTCCTGGATCTGACGCTCCATGTCGTCCAATTCGCGCCTGAGTGCATCCAACTTCTCAGTCAACTGGCGAATAGAGTCTGGGCCTTCTGCCTCTTGCGCTTGCCTTCCCTCTTGCGATGCTGGCGAGACCCTCCTTCCGATATCCGGACGTCTCATGCGGGAGGTGCTGTTGCTGTGTTCGCGAGTCATGGGCGGGGCGGCGACGGAGGTGACGACCTCGGCGAGGGCCTTGTTCGGGCGGATGACGGGCGTGGGCGTGTAGTCATTGTCGTCGCTGGGGGTGGGCGCGTCTTTGGGCGGGTGGGGGCCGTAGAAGTCATCTGAGTCGGCGGGGAGGGTTCGTAGGCGGATGGGCACGCTGGGGGCTTGGAAGCTCGACGAGTTGAGCGTGACTATGCGGATGGTGTAGTGGCGGTCGGGCTGGAGGTTCTCGATGGTAATGGAGGATTCCTGGGGTGATATGTCGCCAATGTCTATGCCGTTGATTCGGATGACATATTTCAGGACAGAGGTGCGCTGGTCTGGCGGTTTCCAGTGAAGCAGCACTCCGTCTGCCTTGATTCCAGCGAGCGAGACGAGGGGCGCGACGGGGACTTCGAGACCGAGCACCTGCACCAGCTTCTCGACTGGCTGCGTGAGGACCTGGTAGGCGCGGAAGGCGACCCAAAAGAGCGCCGACACGATGCACGCAGTCCTCAGCCACCCCGACGACGAGAACAGGAAGGCTTCCATGTCATAGCGAGCGACATCCGGCGGCCAGTACAGCGACGAAGACATGGCCTCCATCAGTGTGTGTGGGTGAAGTTTGCGATATCCAAGCGGGCGTCATGTGCAGCCACGGCCGCAAATGGCCGAAGCTACAAGCCATTTCGACTTCTTGGCTGCTCCACCCTGCACCTCCGCATTCACCTGCAGCTTGCTCCTTAGCGGGGCAGTGGCTGTCAGACATGGAAGCTTACGCGTGTGGTCTAGAAAATATGCATTCCTAGAAAATATGCATCGCGATTGATAGGTGCTTCACATGTCTTTTACGCACTCCCCGCAGCACAAAGTGGTTGAGCCAGTAGCTGTCCCAACATATAAGCAGGCCTGGAATTGTCTCCAATCTGCTTGCTCCCTGGCAGCATGTGAAAGATAACCTCGCATCTGATGTCGATTCTGGAAATGCTTGCCGCTTACTCCGGCAACTCGCATCCCATGATCTCGGCCTGGCGTCCTTGGGCCCGTGATGCGCGCGGTGACAGCATACCCAAGCTTGCCCTTTGCCTAGGCACATCACCGCAAAAGTACTTTCACTCCTGATTCCCCTTGGTCTCGCACACAACGCCGGTTCTTTCCCTCGGTGAAAGCAGCCAGGGCCCACTGACATGTGAAGAAAGACAGCGAATTCCTGACACCACTTGATCTGTAAAACACTTCTGACGTACATTCCCGACGCTCACTACAAGACGCTCACTACAAACCATTTTCCGCGCCTATCCCCTCCCGCACCGCGCAAGAGGGCCGCTGAGCCCGTAGACAGCCACTATGAATTACGTGCGATCCATCACAGGCAGCGTGTCCAAGGGCTGGAACTCGATCAACCCCGCAACCCTCAGCGGCGCCATCGACACCATCGTCGTAGAGCACGAAGATGGCAGCCTAGCCTGTTCGCCCTTCCACGTCCGCTTCGGCAAGTACCAGATCCTGCGACCGTCGGACAAGAAGGTCGAGTTCAGAGTCAATGGCGAGCTGCAGGACTATTCCATGAAGCTGGGCGAAGGGGGCGAGGCCTTTTTCGTCTTCGAGACGACGCGCTCCATCCCCGCTGAGATGCAGACGTCGCCTATTGCCTCGCCCGCCGCGAGTCCCGAGCAGAAGCCCGTGGAGATGCCTTCGGAGCGCGCCTTCGACGAGCCCGAGCCCTTCGACCTAGACAATGCTGGCGTAAGCAGGAGGAGAGGGCGCATGTCCATGTCGGTCCCCACGTCCGACAGCATACACGCCGAGGCAGAATTTGGGCGGCCAAAGTCGGGGGACTGGTCCGGCTTCCACATGCAAAGGGCCAGCACGGATGAGACGGTTCCTTCGGTCAAGGACGGCTTCGCCAAGACGTTCGAGGGGACAGAAGCACATGGCACAGGACCCGAGAGAGGGCCGCTACAGATCAGCAAGGAAGATGCCACGGCTTGGAACAGGTCAACCCGCTCAGCGAGTCCACCGCCCGTGTCAGCCAGTGAAGCACTCGCCCGCGCCATCAAGCTCTCCAAGAAGCTCTTTACCTCCAACATCCCCAACAAGGTCACCGAGACGGGCGACCTCGAACTTGACATGACGGGGTACAAGAGCAGCGAGGAGGATGCCTTGCGCGCCGAAGTAATAGCCCGGCGCATCTTGTCCGATGAACTCGCGGGCGACTACGACATTGGCGCCCTCATCGGTGCCGACGAGAATGGCAACCTCTGGATCTACAGTAGTGAGGAAGCCAAAGCAGCGGCCATGGCCAAGACGAGCATGAACGTCCTCAACGAAGCCGCTCTTCAATCCGCCGATGCCTTGTCAGACCCAGGCTACCAATCCGACAGCGGCCGCAGCGACGACACGGCGCAATTCCCGACGCGACGAGACTCGGACAGCGCCCTGGGATCCTCTGCCCCACACTCGCCCAACTCTTCTACCCAGAAATCAAAAGCCAGACCCGAGACCAAAACCTACGCCAAGACCCTGCGTCTCACGTCCGAGCAACTGCGGGCCCTGGACCTCAAGCCCGGTGCCAACACCATGAGTTTTACAGTAAACAGGAGCAAGTGTGAGGCATACATGTTCTACTGGAAACACGACGTACCAATCGTAATCTCAGACATTGACGGTACAATAACAAAATCAGATGCCCTAGGCCACGTCTTGAACATGATAGGGAGGGATTGGACACACCAAGGTGTCGCAAAACTCTACACCGATATCGTAAACAACGGGTACAACATCTTCTACCTCACGTCCCGGTCCGTCGGCCAAGCAGACACCACGCGCGCGTATCTGAACGGCGTGGTACAAGATAACTACCGACTTCCCAAAGGCCCCGTCATCATGAGTCCCGATCGCACCATCGCAGCTCTACGACGCGAGATATATCTACGCAAGCCCGAAGTTTTCAAAATGGCTTGTCTTCGAGACATTATGCAATTGTTTGACAAGCCCGCGCACCAAACGCCTTTTTACGCGGGCTTTGGAAATCGCTTTACGGATGCGTTGAGCTATCGATCCGTCAATATCCCTTCTACGCGCATCTTTACCATTAATTCGAATGCAGAGGTCAGTCTCGACGTGCTGTCGCTCAACAGCTACAAGACGGGGTATGCCAGTATGCGCGAGATTGTAGACCACTTTTTCCCGCCCGTCGGGCTCTTGGTGCCCGCGGGCGGCGAGGCGTATACCGATTTCAACTACTGGCGCGAGAAACCTTTGGACATTGCCGACTTTACCGATAGCGAAAGTGAAGGCGGAGAGGACGATGATGATGACGAGACGGAGGCGGCTAGTATACGCAGCGAGGACGAAATGGGCTCGGAAATCGGAGAGGATCTCGAGGCGAGTTATATGAGTAGGGAGTCGCTGGACGAAATGGGTGAAGGGGACGATTATGGCGGAATGGAAGACTCGATTGTTGAAAGCATTGAAGGCGGCGACTACGTTGATAGGCAGTATGAAGATGAAGAGGCGGAAGATGAGTATGATGAGGATGAGGATGAGAGGACGCAGATTGAGGGTATTGCGCCATCGATTGAGATGGGCTTGGATACGACGGTGGAACGCATGAGGGAGTTGAATGTCAAAGAACGATCACTCACTCCACGGGCTAGGTAGTTGGCGTGATGGATGGGGGGAATAAGGGTAGATTTGCCTTTTTTTTATGTGTTGACTGCATAGCATGGCATGGGTTGGCGTTGGGTGATGATGGGATGTGTGAAGAATTTTTGAGGGTCACGAATTTAATTCTATCCGTACGACTATGTTTCGTTTCCATCTTGCTCACGTGGGTCTGTTGAAACTTGATGTTTACACTAAGGAAGCACTAATCTGGAGGGTGGGTGGAGGAGAAGAAAGGGAGGGGATGTGGGGGATGGTCGAAGTGGAGGAGATCTTCTCCTGTCTTTACACTTCATATATAAAGTCCCGGGTCTGCAGCCAAATATCAAGACTATTTTTTTCCAGCAGCATCTCGAGACAACTCGCTTGCTCTGTTCTTGGGGACATGCAAGTATTGCGTAGTATGTTTCCCTTCATCTTGACGACCTCGATGCGTGAATGCGCTAGTCGTAACATTTAGCTCTCCCCAGATTCCAGCTAAATTGAGCCGCATGCGCACGCCAAGCCTTCGCGTCCGTCGCAACTTCACCGACGCGCGACCTCGAACCGCCCCAACTACATCCCACCACCCACCCACCCTTCACCATGGCGTCACCCGCCGCCGAAAACATGCAAAATGGCATCTCAACGCCGCCCGCAACAGCAAATGCGCCTACACTCAGTCCACCGACCCAACAACCTCCACCCTCCCAGCCTCAACCATCGCAACAACAACAATCCCAAACAAACGGTGGTGGTACAAACCCTAATACCACGACTACTTCTACCGCAACAGCTATGAATCTCGCTTTTCCAGGTACTTCTCTGTCCGACCCGGGAACCTCGAAGCGCCCACGCGACGCCCGGCTCATCCACCTTATCCTCGCCAACATGGGCGTGCACGCGTACACGGAGCGCGTGCCCCTGCAGCTCCTCGATTTCGCCTACCGGTACACGTCTTCCATCCTCTCCGACGCCATTAGCTACGAGCCCCCACTCCCCACGACATCTGGGTCCAAGAAGCGCGCTGGCGGCGGTGCAGCAGCAGCAGGAGGAGGAGCAGGAGGTGAAGGAGACTCGGGCGAGGGCGTTAGTCTAGCGGCGCTAAGGACGGCCGTGGGGGCGCGAGCGGCGGGCACGTTTCAAGCAACGCTAGGCAAAGAGTTTATGAGCGAGGTGGCGCAGGAGCGGAATCGTATTGCGTTGCCCAGGGTGGAAAGGGAGTTTGGGATTAGGTTGCCGCCTGAGAGGTATTGTTTTACGGGTGTGGGGTGGGGGGTTAAAGGCGCGTGGGAGGACGAGGAGGAGGTGGCTGATGAGGGTGTTGGCGATGACGACGAGATGGATTTGGATGGCGGTGCTGGGAATGGAGGAGGGTTCGGAGGAGGGCCTGTTGGTGCTATCACGAATGGAGGGACAAAGGAAGAGGCCAAGGATACTGATATGGGGGGTATGGATGAAGAGGAAGAAGAAGCCGATGATGACGAGTTTGAAGAGGCTATGGGGATTAATAGGGAGAATAATCCGTAGTATGGGGGTTCTCAGGGTAGTCAAGAGTCACGTACTGCACGAGGCAGCAGCAGCTAGGATGATGGAGAAAAGGCGTTTGTTTGGCTTAGTTGGTTCAGTGGTCCGGGAGGGGGCTTCTTTAAGCCTGGAGCATTTGTAAAGGCGTTTTGGGGGGGAGTCGAAGCTGCAAAAAGGGTTATACCAGAGCTGGCCAAAAGCTTTCTGTTCTTTGCTTGAAAAATTGGGAGCGAGTATTTACAGTTTATAATACAAATATGCTTTCCGCTCATGAATGAACGTTGCAAAGCAATTCGAGGGTTGGGTGTCCTCCTCAGGCTGACGTTGAAACTCTCATACCAATATATGCATTTTCACCATGCCAAATAGATTCACTTTCGTCTCACATCCTTTTGTTTTTTCTTTTCTCCCATGACTGGCACCACCGACCGGTCATCTCGATCCATAAACACCTCCTCTTGTAACCCCACTAGCATCAACCCTATTCTCCTCGCGTCGCCGTAACCCCGCTTCATTAACCGTCTCGGCCGCCTTTCCCACCGTACGCCCCGACTCATCCAGATTCCACCACTCTTTGTGTTTCTCCCTCGCATCTTCTAATTTCCTCTGGTGCTCTATCCTCGCCTGTATCACACATGAAACATTAGCTATTGCCCCCGCCATCTTGTCCTTTCTCAAGATGTTGTTGTCGTAATACATACCTGTCTCCTCTCCTCAGCCAGGGCAAACCACTCCAGCCTCGCCTTGTCCAATTCATCTTGATTCTGGTATTGCAACATGCACGAGTTCATCGCGAGACGGGATTGTCGGCACGCGTAGATCATGGTAAATGTCCGGCCCAAAGCACATTGTGCAAAGGTTTCAATCTCCTTTGCGCATTTTGCTCGTACGTTCTTGTAGTATAGGTCTTTTACTTGTTGTTCTTGTGGCGCGGATAGTGGTGTGGGATTCGTTGGCGACTTGTTGGTCCCGATTATCATGCGGTCTGTCATCTTTTTTTGGGGTGTTGGATTGCTGGCTTGCAGCACTCGTTTTGAGGAGAATTGCTGTTTCTCGAGGTAGCGTGGGTGTGCGACGGTGCGTGTGCGAAGGCTTCCGGGTATTTGGATAGCGAGTGGCGGCGTACAATGGGCGTGGTGCGTTAGGATGCGGACTCCCGGCGGTGATGGTTCGAGATTCGAGATGCGCAAGATTAAGATTATCGGGAGCGGGTATACTTGGTCACTGTCACTGCTGGTGTAGGTGGGATACGGAGCGGGCACATCGGGGCTTTTGGTCACGAATCACCGACGTTCATGGGCCGAGGCACGAGATCCGTGAGTAGCTTTAGCGGAACGAACTTCACATGCATAGGTGCACATTGATTCCGCTTCTACTGAACACCACGTACACATAGAGTCACGACGTTTTTATTGTCTAGCCACTACTTCATTTCTGATCTCATACACATCTCCATACAATCCTCACGATGAAGATCGCAGACCGAACTTTCCTCATAAGCGGCGGCGTCTCAGGCCTCGGTCTCGCAACAGCACGCGCCCTGCATGCCCAAGGCGCATATGTCTCGCTCCTCGATCTCAACAGCGAAAACGGTGCCAAGATCGCTTCTGAACTAGGCTCACGCGTGCGGTTCTTCGAAACCGACGTAACAGACACATCCGCCATCGCAGCAGCAGTCTCAGGCACAGTAGCCTGGGTCGCAGAAACAGGAAAGCACATCGGAGGCGTGGTAGCAGGAGCAGGCGTGGGAATGCCCGGTTTGATCATCGACAAGAAGAACGAGCCACTCAGTATCGAGAGTATTGATTTCGTGCTCAACATCAATTTGAGAGGGACCTTGGATTTGATACGTCAAACATTACCGCACATGACGACTACGACGCCTTGCAGTCCCGATGGCTCCCGTGGCGTCATCATCATGATCGCCTCCTCCGCTGCTTTTGACGGACAAATGGGCCAGGTAGCTTATGCAGCGAGTAAAGGCGCGGTAGCCAGTCTCACCTTACCACTCGCGCGCGATTTGTCAAAATATGGTATCCGCGCTGTGACAATTGCGCCTAGTATGTTTGATAGCGCCATGACAAAGATGATGAGCGACAAGGTAAAGGCGAGTCTGGAGAAGAGCATGGAGTTTCCAAAGAGGGCGGGACAGCCTGAGGAGTTTGCGAGGTTGGTGGTGGAGTGTGTGGGGAACGAGATGTTGAACGGGACGGTTTTGAGGTTGGATGGCGCGATGAGGATGCCGGCGAGGCTGTAGTTTATATTCGTATTCTACGAGGGCACGAGGGTATATAGGAGGAAAGGGATATCTCAGCGCTTGCGCTCCCGGACCTTGAATTTGACGCCGTTTTTGTTGACGCCGCCGACTGTGTTGTTCATCTTTGCACGCTGGAGCTCTAGTTCTTCTTCGGCGGCTACAAGTTCGCTCTCGCGCTTCTTGAGTGCCCGCAGCCTTGACATGTGCCGCTCTTGTGCCCGCTCTCTGTCCTTCCTAAACTTCCTCGCTTCTCTCCGTGCCTGTTCTTGCGCTTCCATCTGCTTCTTCGATAACGTGTTCGGCCGTTGGATAGGCTGCTCGTCGTCGTCGTCCGATAGCTCGTCTTGAAGGTCTCCGAAAGTAGGCGACTCATTGCGAGTGGGAATATCCTCGCCGCGTCCGAACCAAGTGTCTGGTTCAAACTCGTCTTGTTCTTCCTCGTTCTCCACAAACACCCTGTGCTTGCCGTGCCTCGCCCTCTCTCCGTCCCTCACAGCGCGCACCTCGCCCTGTTCCTCCATAATCAGCCTCTGCTCCACCTCCTCCCTCTCTTTGCGCGTCTGCTGCAGCATGGTGCGAATATATCCCGCATCCTGCGTCTTCAACAGCTTCACCACCTCCATACTCAGCGCCTTATTGCCCCGATCCGCCACCCGTTTCCCCGACTTGTCCACCTGCGACGACATCATCTTGAAGGAAAACTCATCCGGATTCCGGTCTCGAGCCTTTTCGCTCAGGACCTTGAGCTTGGCCTTCTTCTGCTTGTGGTCCGCAGCCCGCAGCTTGTAGTCTTTGCGTTTCTCGAGGAGACCCCATTTTTCGCGTTCGACGGGCTGGGCGCGCTCTTTGTGATTGCGCCGTTGGACGGCATTCCGCATCGACGACATGTTGGGCGGTTTGGCGTGTTTGGAGTTTGCTGTGTAGATGCGTAGTGTTTCTGGAAACTTTTCGGTGGGCCGCTATTGCCAAGATTCCGACCCACTTTCCCGCTAGCTCGACCTGTTTGCCTTGGCAATCCCTTTCTGTTCCAACCCATCCGTGTCGCTATCTATGATTATTCATCGTGTCTGTTCTTCGATTTGTCGCCGAGTTAATTTCGAATGCCATTCCTGAGCGGCGGAATCACTGCGCCGCTAGCTTTGCATCTGGCGCTGTGATCTCCAAGCAGTTGCCGCTTTTGTTTATGAAAGAGGTCACAAGAATTGTACCGCATCTACATTGCCTATTCAGGTCTCGAGCGACTTGTAGCTGTACATTTAATACGAAGCTGGTTGGTGGAAGTACCAGTGTATTCGCCCTGCTGCAATAAATTTGTTGCCACGCTTTGCATATCGTTGGCGCGTCGCTCGAGTCGCACTACACGTCTTCAAAGGCCGTCGGATCGGGTACAAGCTTCTAGCCGCCATCTCTGAAGCGCTCTAGCCTCTTGGAAGGGTGTTTCCGCTGACATGCATCGTTCCCCGATCAAAAAAAAGCCAATCATCAGTGACCTGTGCGGTCATGGTACTATACGGGAGGCGCGGAAATGAGACGCAGAGACACAAGTCTTTCCAACGTCAAGAGGTGAACCAGGTACATCCATATGTTGGACTCAGCCAAGAGGTTCTCGACAGCACCCTGAGTCGTGCCACACCAAGATACACGACCATGATGAAAAATCAACAGTCCAGTGTTCTCAATGCAAAAGCGTATTCAGGATAATAGCGGGTCTTTGAACAGGCAAACTTCTGTCAGAGCTGTCCAAACCTAATATGGCGACATGCCTTCCAAAACGGGAGCCAAATCGCGCCCGGCACGCGCTGCATTACGAGAACTATTCCCCATATCTTGAGTGAAACGCCAAGCTATTTACAAAACGATGCCCAGGAATCCTTCCAAACACCGCGGAGAATTGAGTACCGAAATGTGGCTGTGTACTAATGTACCCCAGGTCTGCCCCAATATGCAGCAACGCCAAAACCTCATCATCTGTCTAGCAGAAACTGTACAGCACTACCAAACACTACTTTTTCCGCTACATGGCGTGCGGAGGAACGTCTCCATATAAATCCCGCGAATCATGGTAAGATCCGGACTATGTGCCGTCATGCAGCGCAGATCGAATTGGAGAGGAGGTTGTGGTGAGCATGACCATTCTAGCCACCACTAAGTCTACAACAGCCACAGTTCATCGCCCAGCACAGCATACAGCGGGCGGAAAACAATTCTCCACAATTACCACACGGCGCCTTGGCCTGTCAGACTAGAGTCCACACACCAGGGGTTTCTTCCATCCTGTAGCAATTTCCATTGCATCCTCGGAGGGCTACCTTGGTATTCAGATCCCGTTGGCGATGCAGCCATTTTCGATAAGGGGGGGTATGGAACATTTGTATAAAGGCGATGGAGTGCCCCGAGTGTTACAGGACAACCAGCTCACTCATTCCTTCCTTCGATACTTACAAAGATCCAGGAGATCTATCAACTCTTTCAATTCATCCACACCCACCCTTGCTGAATTACTCACTTCTCATCCTTCACCATGATTTCTCAAGTTGCACTCCTCTCTCTCGTCGCCAGCATGGCAGCTGCGCAGACCCTCAACATCCCCACCCGCTCCGGTAACATTGTGTCGCTCCCCGAGCCCAGCACCATCACTGGCAAGGTCGACTTTGCGAACAAGGAGTTTGACCGTGGCCAGCCATGTGACTCTGACGAGGACACTGGCAGCAGCAATGCCGTCTTCATCCTCGAGGACGGCGCTTCCATCTCCAACGTCATCATCGGTGCCGATTCGCTCGAGGGTGTTCACTGCATGGGTTCTTGCACCCTGACCAACGTCTGGTTCCGTGACGTTTGCGAGGACGCCGTCTCCGTCCTTGGTACTGGTGATGCCCTGATTGTTGGAGGTGGTGCTCAAGAAGCCAAGGACAAGGTCATCCAGCACAAGTAAGTATCAGCCAACTCCATAGAGATAACCCCGTCTGACTTGTACCTAGCGGCCGGGGTACCGTCACCATCAAAGACTACACCATTGTCAACGCAGGCAAACTCTACCGCTCCTGCGGCGACTGCACCGACAACTCCAAGAAGTCGCCCCGCAAAGTCATTGTCGAGAATGTCCGCGCCTTTGGCGTAACCTCTGACCTCATCGGCATCAACTCAAACTTTGGCGACACAGCCACCATCTCCGGCTCCTGTGGAACCACAAAGGCCGTCTGCCGCGAGTACAAGGGCGTTGACAAGGGCAACGGTAGCAGCCAGAAGCTCGACACAAACGCTAGCTGCATGGGTGCGCAGGGCAAGCTCGAGAAGCTGCCAACCTGCGGTGCGGACGTCGGTTCTGGCGCCCCCACTACCACTGCTAAGCCTACCTCTACCAAGAAGGTTACTTCGACTCTTGTTACCAAGACCAAGACTTCATCTGCGAAGGCCACTACGACAAAGTAAGCTCATTCATCCTGAATCCCCCAACCCCCCAGAAACGGCCTTCGGACCACCAATACCACCCCCCGCGAGGCCGCAAACGATTAACCTGGTTCTTTGTTTTTTAGAGATGTCGAAACCGACGAAGGTAGCAGCAGCGGTAGCGTTCAGCTGTACGGACAATGTGGTGGACAGGGATACTCTGGTCCCACTACTTGTGCCTCCGGCAAGTGTGTCAAGAGCAACGAGTGGTACTCGCAGTGCCAGTAGATGCAGTGTGTATCCAACATGCGCACATGCTTCTATTGGTTTTGGCGTGGTAAAAAAAAACGTTTGGAAGTATGGTTGGGTCTGCGACTGAGTGATTCTTCTTGTGTGGATATTTTATCTTCTTTCTTTTTATGTATATATCTTTTCCATGCTATACCAGGCTGTTGGTCTGTGATCAATGCTATTGGTGTTTTTTAATTGCTTTGATGTTCAATTCGAGAGTGGTTGGATCGAGTTTGGTCGTGTCGCGTGTATACTGTCTGCTCGCAAAGAACAATTATGATTAAGCAGGCGCAACACAAGCTGACATTACTACGGTGCCTTGGATGCTAGAGCCCTCTCGATATTCTCGGTAGGAGTTGTAGATCCATCAGCCTTGATTGTGCGATACCGCGGAGTGAGGACAAAGACTTGCACACCCTGCGCCTCATGTACGAGAGAACGACGTTCAATGCATCATTCACCCATCCATTCACTATGGCCTACAACTTCACAAACTCGACATCTTCTTCAATCATCCAGCAATGGAAACACGTTTATGATTAAAAGAATCAATTCCCAAAACAAGATACGCCCTGTGCTTTTGATTCTATACCAAAATCAACGAATGTAAATGCATATGCAAACCGCTAGCCTTCCATAAAGAAAAAAACCATCTCATGTCCTTGGGACTAGACATCACAGCCGCCCATCAACGTTTCCATATTCAGCAAGCTCCACCTCATTCAAATGACTCCTTATCCTCACACTACTCCTCGCACTATCTGGCGAGACCAAACTCTGACGCATAAGCACTGCTTTTCTTGAATCCATCATGGCATTCGCCGAGGCAGGCTTGAAGACTCGATTGCTTTCATGCCCGTAATACGAGTATCGAGCAGGCCGCTTACCTCTCGCAGAAGGCGACGCCGCCCTCAGGTTGTTGCTGCCCGAGTAGGATCTTGTTGGACGAGTGATTGCGGGTATTGGCCAGTCGTCGGTATCAGAGTTTTCGTACTTGACCGAAGATTCAGGCGACTCGTGACGCACATTCCATTCTTCGTGTTCCCAGATGGGGTCGGAGTAGGTTGACGAAGAGCCTGAGGGCTCGTCAATGTACACCGAGGAGAACGACGTTGTTGCCGATGTCCGCCTCGGCGCATAGGGGCGCGGGTGCATCATCTTCTCCATTTGCGGGTCGAACATGTGACTTGATGCAGTGTCGCGCTGCTGTTGCTGCCGAGGTAGATTACGACGAAGTGATAACATGCGCGCCGGGTTTCTTGGTGGTGGTATTCGCTTCTCTAGGTCAAGCATTTCGTAGCAGGCCTTACCAATCCAGAGCATCTGCTCGTGCTCGCGCAGGTAACGCTCTCCACCAAAAGACTTCTGGACGATATCGCGCGCCATCATTCCTAGTTTCCGTCGATGTTCAGACTTTTCGTACATACGGCGCGTGATGATTTCTACGTCCTTGGGCGTTGGTTTGTGAGGCAAGATCGGCGCCGCTGTTCCAGGACCATCGCCAGCGTACTGTGCCCACTCGTCCAGCATGGCCAGCAAATTAATCTGTGCGCGTGCCATACCGTATGCATCGTTGGGTGCCACAACTTCACTATATCGTTTGCCATCATCAGGATCAGTGAGCACGCGTAGCGATGCACCAACATCAGTGCAAACAACTGGCGCTCCAGTCAGTGCCGCTTCTCCAAGTGCAAGCGGCAACCCTTCCGAGACGGAGGAGTTGAGGAATAGCCAAGTGTTCGCGAGGACCATTGCCGGGTCTGCCGTACCGCGCATTGCCACGTTCTGTCCGAGACCTTTGCAAGCCAAGATTTCTTGACATTCAGAGGAGTAGACAGGTGATTTGTTGAGAGCTCCATAGATGTCGAGTTTGTAGTCCTTGAAACCCCACTCATTGGTGATGATGTCCGCCGCAAGTAGAGCGGTCTTGATATCTTTGGCAAACCAAACATGAGAGAGCATAGTCACAGTCGGCGTCTTCGTTTTGATCTCAGTCACCGGGGAGAACTTCGTCATGTCGGTGATACCATTGACGATGGGATCGACCTTTCTGCGGAATACGTTGCGATGTGTAAGTTGACCCTTTGCGCTGCCGATCTCCACTTCCCAGCCGGGGTTGAAGAAGTCTTGTACATGGCGTTAGCATTGCTGTTTGTAGGACCTTAAAAGATGTACATACCTGCGCAGGGAAGGATCTGGTCGGCGTGATGTAGGATCAGGCAAGACGTCAGCTTCATCAGACCCAACAGCGAATTTCGGATGAACGGCGGCAAAGTGCACATCGCGGACGAGAGGTAAAGGTTGGTCTCGCGCCAAGAGATTGCATGATCCCAGATCTGGAGTGTGCAGTTTCGCTTGAGTTTGCAGACGATTCCATATGAGGCTGAGACGCTATGATGCGAGGCTTGGAACACATGCGGAATCTTCTCGGGGATGGGGATGGAGAATATGAATAGATCTATGAAAGTTAGTTTAGTCACCGTCCAGGGAGGGTTCTGACTCACATCGAAACCACAGCTCTAACGCCGTATCGAAATGTCCAAGCGTTGGAAGTTCAGTACGGAACCATTCTGAAGGCGACTGTGCGTTTGGCATATCATCAGCAAGCCACAGGTTTCGCCAAGCATCTTTGACTATGTCGCTCGTCCACACTTCTTTCCAGTGACGCGAGTCTTGGAAGTAAGTATTCAAGTTGACCAAAGCACGCGTGGCTTGCTTGACATCTGCTGATGTCATTGTTGTAGCACGTGCGCCGCGGACGAGGGCGGTCAAGGTAGGAATGAAGTTCGTTTCGATATCCGATATCGTAGCTGCTTTGACCAAATGATCGACCTCACTATCTAGCTTGTTGGTAAACATTCCGTGGTTTGGATGCATAAAATCCAGTCCCCATAACGGGATGACCTTTAGCGACTCGACGTTCTCTTCGGTCTGGTGCTTTGGCAAGCCAAAGTCATTGGCTGATTCAACCACCATGTGCCATTTGATCGTGCGCAAGTTGTTGATGAGATCTCGCCGACATGCCGAGACACCGCCGCCTTCATTTGGCCATGTACCAGTATCGACAGCGATGACATGCAGGTTTCGGTCAGTATCACGCTGTAATGCTTTAGTTCTAGTGAAAATGACGGCATCTCCACCCTGACCAAAACTGAACAAGTCGCTCATTCGTATGGCAAGAGGCGTCCATGCGCTAATGTCGCTTGTCAGATCTGAACTGGCCATGATGGCGTCTGCATGCAAGGCCAGATAGTCTTCAGCCTTTACGAGACTACCGCGATCTCTTCGTCTCCAATATGGCCGCAGGAGGGCCTCTCTTCGAATCAGCTCCTCGTCAACCCATCGAATGACAACACCGTCCAGATCATTCCGCTTTTTCCAAGCTTTCCAGAGTTGTGATCGAGCTCTAGATGTGGAGATCTCTTGTTGTTTGATGTTTGTTCGAAGCAGTCGGCTGAAAAAGGTTGCAGTTGGAGACTTGAATGCAAGCAAAGGGTTTTCATCGGCAAATGTACACCGAGTTGGCTTCTTCAATACGCCGAGCCAATCGTAACGTATCATATCCGGGGTATCGACTGGCACACCATTAAGCTTAGTGGTGATGGTTGGATGGAACTTGTGATCATAAAGCCATGAACATTCGTACACGTCGGCTCCCTGAACAAAAGTTGCTTCATGGACGCGAGGAGTGGGTATCCAGCGCTCCATCTTCTCGACATGGCGAACAGGAGGTGCACACCAGCTGACGTTAGCCGACATGTGTGGAAGCACGAACTCGGCGCGAAGAAGTTCGTCATCATACTTGGCGTTCTTTCGATAATGGTACTTGAAGCGGACCAAGTTTTCATGGCTGATGTAGCTTCCGGACTCGATGTGGCCCTTGCGGTTGTATGTGACCTTGGCGCCTTCGTTCTGGCCACTGCGGCAGATTCTGCTCAACGGTACCCTGCTTGTCTTGACCTTCGAGATCTTCCTCTTATGTTGCGGCTGCTTCGATGCATACTCGTACACGAACTCGTTAGCCACCGTACCATTCTTGTACTCCTCGCGTAATGTGATGCGCATCTCTTCGTCGTAGTATGTAACTCGGAGATGACCCCATGTTGGTTCCAGCTCCAGATCACCCTGATAGAACATCAATTTGACTCCACCGTCTACGACAGGGTGAATGAAGGCTGTCTCTGTATCTCCGTAGCTTCGGACGATCAACCGGTTTTTCTTTTGGATGATCAAACTCCCTTTTACAGTGCCGGCAAGACCTGCAATATCCTTGCGCCGATGGTACAAAAAGTAAGGTAAAGCGATTGACATCGTAGCCCGACTGTAGATCCACAATCCCGTCAGAACGAAAGTAGCGAGTTTGGCTATCGGGCGCGGTGTACGTAACAAGGCCCCGTTCAGTTCACGCTGATATTCAGGATCGGCCATGCACGCGAGGAAGAAGAATTTGACCCACGTTCCGGCAGAATGGTAGACATAAGCGATGGGCAAACGCACATACTCGGTGAATATGCCAAGAATCGAGACTGCTGAGCGATTGAGGACCGGATGATACGCTTCCTGGATGTCTGCGGTCATTTGACGATACTCTTTCTTGGTGAGAGCCTGATCGCCTCGGTTCTTGAAGAAGTTGTGCTTGATAATTGCTAGGTATGCGCCAAGATCATATCGTGCGATGCACGACAGGATTGTACATGAGCTTTCCGCTGGAACATTGGCATTGATCCATGCCATCTCCGTGTTTGTATAGG